CTTTGTCCCTGGGCTGTACCTTGCAGACACACCACATGAAGTCATTCCCCACCCTCTCTTCAGCTCTAGGCCCCTTTCTCAGGAACTGTCAACCAGGCTCTGTCCTGAAATGTCCTTAAAAGTGTCATAGGTGCCTCTCTGTCCTTGGGTGCACCACAGCTGTTCGGTCTCAAGGGCAAAGATAACATCCTCAAGGTCCACAAACTGCCTGGACCTTGATATCTGATGATGGTGGCACAGAGAAAAAGTGATGATATGCAATAGATGGCAATGAACCATCCAACTGCTTGTGGTTGGGAAAAGTTGGGTTTTTTTTTAAAACATGGATACTCTTCCCTTTCCATAACTGGCCATCAGCAGACAAAAGGTTCTTTACTCATATATGGTACACACCAGGCTGCTGCACAAATCCAATATTTCCTTCCTGCATCACATCCTGGATCTTTAGAGCAGAAAAGCACAAGAAAAAAAGCATATGTCAGACAACTCTCATCACTACTTCTTTCTGGGTCCTGCTAAAATGTCAACTCCTTCCTTTTGAATGAATGCCCATCTTACAACAGCCTTTGAAACTCTCTTCAAAATATGTAATTTAGGGCTAAATTCTTGTTTATGCTACTCAGCTTCCAAAGTTATCCTGCCTACATGAGATTTTATAGTCAGTAAAACACATGACTGAGTACACATGAAACAATAAATTTCATCTCCTGTTCCACATTTTTTTTCTTGTAATTAAGCTACACAGAACAATGCAGTTTGATCATTGTTAGTTTGGGACTGGCATTTATGTTTCATCTAGAGTTAATTCAGTGTAACTCAGAACAAAAGCAGCACAGACAAAGGAGAGCCAGATCTCACAAAGAAGTTAATAATTAATAACCACTTTGACGATATTTAACCCATCAGCAAAAATGCAAAAAAAGTTTAAGCACTGTAAGTTTTACTGCAACAAATTGAGTCCCTCATATTTTCACCAGTACAGATGGTGCAGCAATCTTCTCAAGTGTAACACAGTAACTCAACAAGATTTCTTACAACACTCCATCATCACCAAATTCATCATTATTTTCAAAGGTATAATATGCAGTTTGGATTTTTATAGATCTAAGACAAATAGGTTTGCTTAATCCTGTCATCTGAGACAACTCAACTCGAATCAGACCAGGTTTGCTGTATCTTTCCCACACAGGGATACTCTCAAACCCCACAGCAGGCCTGTGGTAGAGTTGGAAAACTAACCTGTCAGCATAATACAAGTCTCTGCTTTACCACTGATAATGTAACTTGGTCCCAGATAATGTTTTCAGCACCAGTTCTGTTACTGTTAGTGCTGCCTGCATGTTTCCCATGTGCCAGATCATGTTTCTCACATTTTTTAGTATTATCAGATCACACTGCAATGGAAACAGGTATTATCCACACACTCACATTTAAGTAACTCTGCAGTATATAAACCTCTTGCTTCAGTGAGTGCAGACAGAACCACAGAAGCAGTAAAGCAGCAAAAGTACAGATCGAAATACCATTTGTGAAAGCATTTGATTTTGATACTGATGAACACCTCAACAATATTCTTAGATTGTTACATTAAGTATTAAAAAACTGGAGATTTGTTCAGTCCCCTTCTTAAAATTCACTTCTTCAGGACCCCCAGTTAATTCATAAACTCCAGGTACTTTGGATCACTCAGTCTTACCCTCTGTTACTTGGTCACATACCAACCTATTGATGACATACAACTTTTATTTTAAAGCAGTTGCCAGGTGAAATATTTACGCTAGGAGCCAGGGCAGAGGGAAGAAGGCAGGAGGAGAAGGAATGAGCTTAAGCAACATTACCAGAAGATGTAAGGATCAGAAGCCTCGAAAGCACTTAAAAATACCTCCCAGCTCTGCAGTATCCAACGTTCATTTAAAAGTGTTAGTTTGAAGCAGTTCTGAAGGCAAAAAAAAAATGACTATGAACAAAGTATAATTAAAAGAGTATCTGCCCAAACTTGCCTGAAACAAAAGTTAAACAATGAATTGTGTTATTTTCATAGATGTTAAATCAAATGCCAAAGATGGTATTTGAAACATTAACAAGACATATCAAGAAAAGTTAAGTTAGCAAAGCTTTACACAAGCATTTCCATCAGACCACACGACAGATGCTTCAATCCCATTTAACAGCAAGATAGGGATGAAAACACACTTTGTACCTCTTCCTCAAGGGGACAAAGGGGTAGAAAAGACTAAGATTCTCATTTGGAGATGTTATTTCAACACTGACTTGAAGTTTTACAACGCATGTAATTCCAGATGAGCTAGATTAGCAAAACCATTATATTTAAATGGTCTGCCTTAACCTGGCTCACAGCTCTGTAGGCATCTGGTGCATGGTCAAACCCAGCCCTCGGGGATGCATTTTGCTTGGAGCCCAAACTGTGGCCTGGCTGAAAGAACTCCAAAAGGTAAATAATGAGATAAAACAATCAGGTTGCACTTGGTCAAAATCTAACCATGACATTTGCAGTTTGAAGGATATGAAACCAGCACCTGGGGTAAGGATTGCTCTGCCATGCTTGGATGTACAAACCATGGGAAAGATCAGAAACAAAATTAAGACAGAATTACAGCTGCAATAGAAGAACAGGAGGTTTGGCTCAGAAGATACCATTCTATATATTGCATAAACTTTTTCATGTTCCTACTTCCAACTTCTTAACAAACCTACAAGTTACAAATCTTTTCATCTCTTCAAACAGTTATGCAAAACTTATGGTATAATTAGCTATAGTTTTACAAGCAATCAAAGCTTTTTGTCTTGTAACTGGGGTGGAGCCGTGCCAATTCCCAAATGACGGCTACAATACTCTTACAGCTGCACTGACTAAAAAGAAGGGAAAAATCCCAACACCTATAGAGGACAGGAGAGGCAGTGAGGAAAGCAGAAAAGTTATAGTAAATTAAAAAGTTCTAGTCTACTAAGTGCAATGCTTCATCTCGCTGTGCCCGGCAATTCATTTTTAGGGATAATATTTCCAGAAATTAAATGGGTATTCTTCTCTGAGTGACAAAAAGATGAAGACTTTATTATTTAAACAAGTCTTCAACTCTGTAGACAAAGAAACTTACCCCAGCACAATTCTGTTCCTCAGTTCCACGGCTAAACTAAAAGGTGACAAGAGTGGCTGATCATTCGCTACCGAGTCCGACAAGGAAAAACAAGATGTAAAAAAGTTATTTTGACTAAGGACAAAACCAGCACGTGCTTTCTACATTAAGCTACTACTTTAAACCTTATGCCAGAGTTTCCAGAGAACAGCCAAGTGCTGCAAAGTTAATCAAAACAAGATGTTTCTGAGCAGTTGAGTATTGCAAGAGATCCTCCAGTGTTCAGCAGCAAGACCACCCAGAAATTTCTTTTAAGATGCAGCCTAACAGCTGGGAAACCAAGCTTCGGCAAGTTAAACCACTTCTTCTCCTGTGTAACATTATCCCTCCCCAGGACTGCTGCAGATAAATACACTCTCATTCACAAATACAGCTGTACACTTAAATTTTGCCTTTTCTGATCTCATTTAGAATCCCAGAGAAGTTTTGGCAAGCATGACTATTAGATACAATTAAAAGCTCAACTGTGATAGTTCTTGGTTAATTGCAAAGAGCACCGTGATTGTGAAGTGTACCTACATTTGTAGAGAGTTCAAGTATTTTTGCATATCTTAATAATGCTCCTTATTTGATAGTAGTTGAAAAGAAGAGATACTGGGGAAAAAACTCGAGGAAGAATGGATCAAGACCTTTTTTATAAATAACCAGAGAAAAATCACTTACAGTAATAGTTATATTTTATTTTTTCTTTTAGTTTCAATGTGCAGTATTTTCAGCATTTTTTTTTTAAACTTAAACATACATCTAAAATTATATGCTTTCCTTTTCCTTAGAGTACAATTTCTTTTCAGGTTGGGGCTCCAAGCTTTTGCTCATCATCGCCCTCAAACTAAACACCACCACAGGGTGCATTACCTTATCCTTGTCAAGTTTATCCAACTTGCTGGTGTGTATACACGGACCGATGGGAATGATAAGCTCACACAAAATGCACATGACAAAAAGCAGCACATGCTTCACAAATGCTCTGCAGCATTTATACCCAGTTACTTGAATACAGCTAAAACTTGATATACAATAGAAGCTCTCCTGGGTATGACTGTGGGAGTCTCAAGATTTTTAATGAATATTTAGGTAGCATGCACAAAGAGTTCACCCAAAATCTTAGTATTAGGTAAAATTAACATAATGAATTACCCCAAAATTTTGCTACATTGCTTACTCTAGTTTTTACAGCAGCTTGTTTTCACTTTAGAATACTTAAACTACCTAAAAACTAGCAAAGTACTTTGCTCTCTTATAACTTTCATCAGCTGTATCTTTATAACCAAATTTGTTTTAAAAGAGCAAAGCACCTACCATTGTCACTTTGTTGATTTCTACCTTTAGTAGAAAGTTTAGTTGGGATTGTACATGGAAAAATTCTGATCTATGCAATGAATGTACTCAATCAGTTCCCCATCTTCTCCCACCCTATCCCTTTCAACCACGGGGTAAGATCTCGAATGACTGAATTGAATTAAACTGCTTATTGCTATATTTATTGCTCATTATACCCTCAAATTTCTTTTATTTAGGAAGTATAAATGCTTAGCCCTGACAGCTCCACAAAATCTTAAGACAAACAAGGTCTGCTGCTCTTGGAGAACTGTCTTTGCAGTGTTTTTGACACAACCTCCTATATAGTTAACAGCCACCAAAAAAGAAGAATGGTGAGACAGAATGCTGTTAAGGCAAATCTACTAAATATCAACAAATTACTTTTAACCCAAAAGGTTCCACTTGTTCCCCCCTTCGTTTGATCTGAACCTGTTCACTCATTACTCAGTGCTTTCGGAATGCTGCTGGTGGTTAAGAAACAAGCAATGTCTTGGTGCTGAGAAGGCATTCCTACCAAAGCAAAAGTAACACACAATCATTTAATAGATGCTTTAGGTAAGAACTGACATCTGAGTATACACTTTAGAAAAGATTTAAATAAACTCACATTCAATTTCAACTGGAAAAGAACATAAATAGTAAAGAAAACTTTGAATTCTGCAAATAAAACTGGTTTACAATGGGTTGTAGTTTCCAACTCCTCACTCTTGCACTCAGTGCAAGGGAGGGGGCACGCTGAAATGAAACACAAATCAAACTTTATTTAATGGGCCAGTGGGTAGCTGGCCCAAAAACTATTTATAACAAGTTGGCTGGCATATGGTGTTCTTAGAGGAGGGCCACGTTATAGATTTAGTAAAGTAAGTTCTTTGACAACTGAATTGTAAATGAAGTTTTAAACATTAATCGGTCTCAAGTATGTTCCCTGTCCTGCCATACCTCTCATCTCGTAAGGCTGCAAAAAAGCCAGTTTCACTGCAAAGCACATTAAAGATGCTGTTTGCTTTGTTTAGCCAGAATACCAAATGTATGTCTTAAGCCCAAACACACTTCTACCCTGCTATCAATGAAAAAATGAACAGCCTGATTTTTCAGAATTAGCTTTCTGTCTACAGCAAGTTAAAAACATTCTGTGAAATAAAATCTCGCATTAAGTCAATCTCAAGGGACAAGCAATATATTTATTTCCTTTAAACCCAACATCGGTATCTCTATGTGGCCACTGTTGTGCTGCTACTGCCCCTGTCACACACCTCTTGTCACTAAGAGCAGAAAGGAGTGATTTTGAATATGATTTCACTCCAAAAGAAATGAGGGTGCAGCAAGCATGTCTGGGAAGTGGACAGGGAAGTGTGCTGCAGTGAAATGTTAGAACTGAAGCACTACCAGAGTGTGTTTGCACACTAGGAAGACCCTTAAGCTACATTCCCTTCAGGTCACAGAGAATTTCCTATGAGGAGGTGCCCCTCTTTAGACACTTAGGACACGTTACAGGAGGTGTATATACTAAGACAAATCTCCAAGAGAGGTTAAAACAGATGAAGTCATTACTACCAATGAATCTGTGTGAGGTTAGAACTGACTGCATCAGCTCTAGAGCTTGTCTTGAAACAGGTAATGCAAATATTTGCTCTAAGGCTGGCAATGGGCATTTGAGGAAAGGGAGCCTGCCACAACTAATGTTTTTCATCCAGCCAATCCATGCTGACTTCAATGTATTTCTTCAGTGGTTGGAAAGATTCTATAGCAAGTCCCAAACTGGTTTGGAAAGTTTCATAAAGGGTCTAGCTCCCTGATCCCAAGGTAAAGTAACCAGCTAGTTTGTGTTAATCATGAGGAGCTTAAAATTATGAAGAATTTAACAGTTTTGTAACACAACATATACTGTTATACGGTGAGAATATGACTAACTTGATGCTTAAAAAATATATTAAAATCTATTTTAAATTTTGGAAAATAGCTTACAAAAATATCTTCACTTAAACTATATATCATACAAAAACTGACTGGTGTGTGGGTTTACAGTACAAAACGATTACTGATGGTTACAAAAGGGAAGCGTGATCTATACTACCCCTTAATGAAAACACAGGGCATTATATCTCACTGCCTGGAATTAGACTTTTATCAGAATTAAGATAATTTCCAATATAACTCAAAAACTTTCAAACAGTATCTGTTTTATTAAACCTTTTTCTGAAATCCTGTTCAGTTTCTTTAAAAATCACCACAGTGATGTGGCCCAAGAAAGAAGAGTAACCCAACTAAGGGTGGAAATAATTGCTCTAGATAGTAAGATCTGTAGAGAGCTAAATACAGCAACATCTACAGTTGTTTCTACTGCCCACACTATCAATTTCCTCTACCAGTTTCTAAAAGGAAGTGACACCAGCGGACAATTCCTTTGTAATCAATTTATGGGCAGAAGCAACAATTTTTGGTCTAGATTGGAATTAGTTTAAATACATGGGTTTAATAAATACAAATATACACATCTGTATACATTAAATGTTGTCACATGTGTATAATTTCAACATATACATTATATACAGAAATACATACAGTACATGCTCCTCCTGACAACACTATCTCATTTTTCCAAGTGTCACCAAAAGGTGTGATAAGGAAATGAAGAGAGATTACATGTAGGATCTGACCGAGAACCAAGGTATCATTTCTCTATAATGAAAGAATGACAACAAATACAACTAAAGACAAATGCTGTGCTAGATTTCCTCATGTAAAGCTTAGGAATCAATGGCATTCCCTGGGTGGTGAGTAAAACCTAAATCTGGCCCTGTGTAGTGTCCTGAAATTCATGGATATTTGTACTGTTTGTGTCTAAAGCATTATGTATACAACAGGTAATAAAAGAGGTTGTGTAATTTAACACTTTAGTCAGTCCCCAAGTAGACCACAGCAGCCTTCTGATTCTTAACTGCCACCAAAAATTTGTTTACATGAGAGTGGTTTGAACCCAGGTGACTCCATGGTCTCAGTTAGGAAAGGTCAAACAGTTGTTGACTACTGGGGAGCTTGCACCATTTTGTCTCTTAAAATGCTGTGCAGCAAATAAGAGCAGTTTCTTAAGTATCTAAAGTTTGATCCAGAGTAACTAGTCCTCTTTTTTACCATTATGTCTCAAAATAAAAGAATTCAAAAGAAGCTATAGTAAAATGGATCACAAGAATGCCTCCTTAGTACAGTTTCTCAAGACAAATTAATCAACATATTCCAGTTTTAAAGCACTTTGAGAAAAAGTGAGATGCAAAACAAGATGTAATCTGTACATTAAGATGGATTTCCAAAAGGAACATGAATTCAAGCAAAGGGAAAAAAAATGAGGACAATACAGATGTCAAGACATTCAGTAGCATGGCTTCTGTTCATCTCCAATTACAGCACAGCTCATGCACGACACATCTTACAATTTTACATACTGTACATAATATAGAAATATTTAAGTTAAAATTTCTTTCACTGATATACCGTACTCAAATTTTAAATCCTGAGAATTAAAAAGAAAAATGTGTGGTTACGTATGTGCACTATATCTCCGATATCACCAACACATACACCACTGGATATCAGAAAGTCCAGAGAGAGAAATCACATGCTGGAGGTGCAAATCATAAAAGCCATTTTCTCTTTTCCTTGTTTGGGAGAGACATTAGGAAACAATTTCTATTCTGTACTACACAACAGTATATACAGGGACATAAAACTATGAAGTTGGCTAATGACTGCAGCAGTAACAGTCTGTCAGTGTCTTACCGGCTGCACCACAGTGGCTTCAGCTGAACACTGGAAGAAGAGGAATACCAGTTACCTTGCATGTGGTACTTGCTCGTATTTACAGCTACTATGTGTGTCTCAGGTTAGTCCCACACACCACTTGAAAAACACTGACATACTTCTTTCCACTCACAGGTGCCTGGTGTCAACGAGAACTACACTAGACTTCTCAGGTGATTTCCAGTGCTGCAGAGCACTTGTCCGTGCGTGCTGGAAGTAAAACTGACAGGTCCATATTTATCACAAATGCAACCCCAGATATTTTCTTGATCTTGCATTCCCCATAATTCATATTCCAACACTAGTCATGCAGTTCCACTACACATCAGGGTGCTCAACATGCTGTGACCTTGTGCACATTTTGCAAACAACTTAGTAGGCGATGATATGGGGTTCCTGGAGACGCCACCACCTCAAACACCGACTGAAAGGCCCTCCGATCTAATTCTTCATCTATCTGATGTCGGTAGAAGTCTATGGCCACCAAACAGAAGATGTTAACATCCACTTGCTCTGATTTTCCCATTCTGCTGATAATATGTGGAAGACTGAAATATAAGTTAAGGTCACAATATGACAGAGGTTGCTCATCTTTTGGTGTAGCGGTTTTAAACACTGTTCTGCAATAACATGGTTTATTTTTGAGTTCACCAACAATGTTCAAGTGCAAAATACTGTCATCTAGCAATTCAACTGCTACTACATAAATCTAATTCCTTCATTAACATCGTGCGATTTCTAATCCCCAGAAATTCATTTCAATCTAGCAGTAGTTCTCTTTATCCATTGGAGCAAACAATGCAATCAGCCACTGCTGAGAGCCAAAGAGCACTGCTGAGATTGAGAGTCATTAGGAAGTTTCAAACATGACAAATGGCCACTTTTTCATCTGGTCACGAAACACAACAGTTATTTTTCTGTTTGTTTGAGAGGGTTGTTTGTTTTTAAATAAACCCAGCACTAATACCCCCTATGTATGCCTTTTGGCTGTTCCAATTTATTTTGGCCAATGCTTACTCTTACTGCAGTGCACAGCCAGGGGGACACTTGCAAAATACAGTTTGTATATAGAGGATAATTTTCTTGAGTTTGAGTTTGCTGACTTTTTTCCTTTTTTTAAAATACATTTTATCTTGCAGAATGAATATAAAGCAAAGCTTTTAAAGGTCACAGCAGTGCTATCTTGGTGAAGTTTTTAAAAAGTCCTTCAAAGTAAGGACTTTCCCAATCATCTTGCATAGTTACAAGGAACAGATCTTAAAGCAGCAGCTTTAGATAACTTTGTTCTTCTAATCTCTTTGGAAGTTCTTTTTTTCCCTTCATACCTGAGGTACAACAGCACAAAGCAAAATACACCACTACTAACTGCAGTAAAACTGCCTTTTTTGTGTACTCTTATCTTTCAAGGCTATCAGTGTGCTTTACAGAATCACTATTATTACCTAGAAATGGCACACTTTCAGTCTTTTTAGGATACATTGCTGAAATCCATTGACTGGTGGAAGCACTGACAAAAAAACAGGAAAGACTCCACATTGCCATTGCCACGGGTGTTCTTTGCGTGAAGTTAGAGAGAGAGAGCATCACCCAGTCACGGACCATTGAGGACTGTCCAGTGCTATGTAGTGTCTGGAATACCTGCAAAATATTGTATACAAGAATAAAGTCAGGGGAAAAAGTTTAGTTTCTCTTTTAAAGGTTCTCTCCAGCTATAAAGCTCTGAGGTTCACAAACCAGATTCTTGGAGACAACTCTGAGTCTGAAGAATTTGTGAACTCATGACACACGTGCCAAACTGAAGTAATCATAGAGAAGTGCAAGACTTGTCTGGTGCCTGTTTTTACAGATCAAATGTGGAGAACACATGCACTCTCCAGTGATGCATGAGTCCAGTAAGTGCTGAAGAGCAAAACACACAGAAGCCCAACTGAGCCCACAGGGGTTTCACAAGGTCAGATGACCTGGGATGGCTCCCGGAGATCGACAGTCTGATCAGAAATACTAATTTTCTCTTTATTTTCTCATTATCACTGATTGAACTGTATTGCTATGGGCTTTGGCTTCCAGGTGAGATGGGGATTCTAGTCCTCCATGTTGTCTGGAAGACAAACCTCACAGACATACAGCTCCATCCCTGCAACTGGTTTGTTAGATTTAATTAACAAAATTGGTATTTGCCCCTTAGACTGAACTGTTATTTGAAATCTTCTGAAACATTTAAGAAGAAAAATATATGTATCAATCCTACCTTATAAACTACTGTTGCCATGAATTGTGGATATGGCTGTTGATTGGACAGAAATTCTCCAATAACTTTATTCATTACATCTTGTGGGGGAAAAAAATCATCAAGGAACTGTGGAAGGATCCGAGCCACTACTCTAGCTTCAAAAGGAAATCCCTTCCTGATCCTGAAAAATAATAAAAAAGAAAATATTTTATGATTGAATTCCAGTAAGTATCTCATTCCATTCCAGTTTAATTGGCAATAGAAAGAACATTTTACTTTCATCTGTACATAGGCAAGTTCTCAACACTGATGGATCCAAATCTTCATGTAATCTTAGTAACATACTCAAAGAGGTCTATCAAAGCTATCAGAAGTTGTTACAGGTATGTCCTTCCCCCTACACTCCCCACTTTTTTTTTTTAAATAGTCACATTTTTTGAGGGTCTGGAATTGCATGAGAGATGAGACTTAGCAATAGTAATGCTGAAAAATCCAAACAAGAACAAAAAAGGACAGGGAGATCACTACTCCTAGGTATCAGAGAAAAGGAGAATACTAATTTCCACTCATAACATCTTTGCATTTTTTATTCAAGGTCAGAATGACCAATACACCAAACAAGAAAAACAAGTTGTGCTGCTCTGTAAAGAGGGGAAAAGATATTCCAACTTACAGCCAATTTTGCTTAAATAACACTGATTGGAAAGTCTTTCTAATAAAGGCTGCATCTGTTGATATGTCAAGATTAAGTTACCATCATGTGATTCTTCCCTGCCAAAGTTAGTTTCTGCTTGTAGTATTCACATTTGTTTTGCTGCCTCTTCAGAGTAATATTTTCAAAGGCACTCAAGCACTGCTCTAGTTCTGTTCTCACAGAGTGCAGAAGTGAAACCCTCATCCAGTTTTTATGGAAAAACCACTGAACACTTGAAAAAATGTAAACCATTACCCACAAACTACTACACAAAATCTAACATGCTATACTCACTTAAGACAGCTTGAGACTGTCAGATCAAAACAGGGGTTTTGAAATGTTTCCTTTAATGAGTTCCATGTGAATACAGAAGTTTTACTGTACCCTTCCACTGCAATTACTTAACAGCCTTGGAAAGAGCAACCCCTGGGTGGGGGAAGGGGAAAAAAGTTTTAAACTCTTAGGGTGGTTTGAAAGATTATTTCCTGTAAACTGGATTTATATCCTTGATTATGTAGAAGACATCCTGAAAAGCTCTTAAGAGTTTGACCTGAAGGGAGCTGAAAATACATTTATGAAGTATTATGGTTTGTTCAACACACAGTATCAGTTAGGACATGTCTGTTTTTCATTTACATTCCTGTACATTTGTGCTGCCTTCAGCAATTCCATCAGTGTTACTGTGTATACTAGGAGGGTAACTGTTAAGCAATAGTAAGTAGAGAAACATCATTAATTAAATATGAGAACTGTCAAATAGAGAAGTGACCACACAGTGATGAACACAATCATTTCCCTCCCAGTGCCCCACTTACATCTTTTATCCTCTTACCTATCAAAAAGGACAGACACTCGTTCCATAGCTACGATCACAGATTCACTGTCAGGAGCACCAGGATTTGCATCTGTGATACGACTGGGGCTGATTTTTTCCTTTCCTAAACCAAAACAATTTGTTACAAGTTCACCGTGAATGTTAAAATAAGACCCTTTTTTACTCCTGGTAACAACAATAAATTAAAAAAAATTAGCACTGTTAGTAAGGCAGTCTCTCAGCACATGAAAAAGTGAATACCTGTGTACATGCAAGTCAGCATTAATCCAAGGGCTGCCATTGCTCTGTGGGGGCTCTGCACATTCACCCTGTCAACGCTCAGTTTAACCAGTGATTCACTATCCAGCCTAGAAAGTTGCTCTGAAAGGAGGAGTCGTTCTAATCCTCTCAGGACACAATGATAAATAATGGATGGTGTTGATTCATCACTTCCAGACACCATGACTCCACACATCTGAAATAAAGTAAAAAGACAACTGCCTGGTTTTGAGGTGTATTTAGGTCATCTTCTAGCACCATACCACTGGAACTAGTATGGCTGGCATCAGGTATTAAGAAGAACTGATGAAGGTAAGCCCAAAAGCATACCTACACCACAGTAATCAAGTGTTAAAAGACTGCTAATTGGTGATCCCAGGTTACATGAACACCTGTGATTGGATGCATCACAACATACCTGGATAATTCCTGCAGAGAATTCAGGCCCTACATCAAGTGGGTAATTCTCAATCAAATAGAAAGCAGCTGCACACATTACCAAGATGTGCTGTTGGTTATGGATATTCACACAACTGTAAATAAGCAAAAACACCAGTGGTCACATCAAAGTCGCCTAGGTCACAAACAGAGACACTATAAACAATTCCTAGAAACACAGTATTTTTGCACATTAAATTGATGCCGTTTTTAAAATCCCAAAAAGTATCACCAAGATGCCATAAGAAAACACAGCTTATCATGAAAACCCAGTGCAATGCAAGAAATTGTCAGGCCACATAATCAGAAGTTATCATTGCCTGACCTGTTTAGGAGAAATAAACTTTATTACTGATCCTGCAAGTCTTACTCCATGAGTGTGCCTTTTGACAGAAAAATGAGGTTTAAGGAACACAATTTACCAAAGAGACAAAAGCCTGAACTATGTTTTCTCACCCTCAAGTATCATTTTGCTCTGTAAATTAAATGCAAAATTGGACGATATTTTCAAAGAAAATACCAAAACCTGCTCGATACAATGGCCTGCTCTAAAATGTACTGACAACTGCAAACAGAGAGCCCCTTTCTTCACACAAACATGCAACAGTTTGGAGCCAGGGGGGAAAGGGGGAAAGAGTCTTACTGTGCTACTCCTCTCAAATTGGAGAGCAGATACTCGCTGATAATTGGAATGAGTTGCTTTGCTGTCTCATCAAGCAAGTCACACTCAAGGATATAAAGAATTCCATGCAGAGCTCCAATCCGACTTGGCATATGGGTGCTTCTTAGGGTTGATTCCAGCAGTCGACTTACTGGTTCAGCCACAGCTTTATCCTAATACATCCAACAAGAGTATTCATTAGAAGTCAACACTGGTTCAAAATACTGGCAAGTCCTGTCATTTGGCAATACTTGGAACAAATTAAAGAGCAAAAAATAGGGCATGAACCAGAGCCTGGCTTAAAACTACTTTGAATCGAATGTCACAAGACTAATGCAATCAGATAAGAGATGATTTGCAGATTAGCTAGTAAATTGATGTTACTTTGTGAGTTGTTTCTTGAACACTTCCAGGGATGGTGACTCCACCGCTTGCATTCCAATGCTTGACAACCCTTTCAGTGAAGAAATTCTTCCTAACAGCCAAAGCCCAATCTAAACCTCTCCTAGCACAACTTGAGGCCAATTCCTCTTGTCCTGTCACTAGCAGTCTGGGCAAAGAGGCCGACCCTCAACCTTGCTATAACCCTTCGGGAAGTTGTAGAGAGCAGTCAGGTCTCCCCTGAGCCTCCTTAGGCTCCATCTTTAGGGACATTGTTTAGTGATGGACTTGGCAGTGTTAGCAGTTAGACTCAATGATCTTAAGTGCCTTTTCCAACCTAAATGATTTTACAATTCTATGTTTAGTATTCAAACACCAAGCTGGTATCAGATACTTCACTCCCTGTTATTAAATTACAACAACTTACTGGCATATGCAAAATCTATTCTAAACTGTTAGTTTTGAAAAGTCTTTTTCTTACAATCTAAGTATTTAGTAGAAATTCTTTGCTTCACCTTGTCCCTGTATTCATGAATTATCTAAGATACAGGACACTTTTACAGTGTGTGCTCTCTTGTTGCTCTTTTTAAGTGGATTTTCTACATAACTGAGCACAGGACAAGTAACTCCTGATGGAATTAACTGGGTTTTTTTACTCCTGCTAAGCTGTTCTATTCAGCTGTTTGCTTGTAAGAAGGTGCTATTAGTTCACTGAGTGGGAAATTACAGCCTAGTCAGAATAAGTTGATCTGTAAAACTTTCTGTATGTTTGCCATCACTTTTACAGCCTTCCCTTGAGCAGTCGCTGCTACAATAGCTACTGGAAGCCCTATTCCAAAAGTCTTTCAAAACTTCTCTTATCACTATTACCCAAATAGCTTTGTATTAGTCTCAGAGTTTCTAGAAATGCTAACTTCTTCCAAAAGAATTTGTAATTATTTTTCCTAAATAATTCCACTCTGAAATGTCCATTGGAAAATACCTCTGGTCTACACATTTAAAAACAGAATGATGCAATTTAGGGAAGAGTGAGGGAAAGAAAAGGGATATCTGACTATCTGGCTACATATTCACTAAATGCAGTGTCCCAGCCTCCCATGAGATTACAGCCATTCATCTGCAATACAAATCTAGCAAAAGCTGTTCCACAAGTCCTCAATTCTGGCCTGAAATGTGACAAATGAGGAGTCCAGGGCAAAGGCAACACTGAACTAAGTGAGACAAACCAAAAAGCACATTAAATTATGCTCAAACCTCAAAAAAATCTCAAGCCAAACCCCCTTTCTGTTTGCAATCTCTGAAAGCCCAGAATAATTATCCTATTACCTCTTACAGCCATGCAGATCAGCTAAGGGGTATTCTTACAGACAAACCACTCTTACCAAGTACACAGACTTTGCAGCAGAAGCTAAGGATGAATTACTCAGACACTCAGGAATTTGCAATAAACTTTCATGAGAATTTCTTACCATTCCCAGAACAGCAGCAGCTTTACAGGTAGCTGGTATCAAATACTGTACAAGAATCTCATCTTCTGATGGATGCACCTTTCTCAACTCTGTCAATGTTGTATACATCATCTCAAACTGATTCCTTTCTGTAAACAAGTCTGATACTGCCAGAAGCTGTACAGAAATTAAAACAGAATATAAAAAAGCTCATTAGCAGACAGCCAAAAATTGACTCTCCCTTCTGTTATAATTGCAAGCAAAAGATTCCTCGATTTATCTATTAAATATGTAAATATTTATCTAAGTGTCTGAAATAACTATCAACTGTTGTCCAGAATTAATTCCACCATTCATTTTGGACAACAATTACCTCCAAATTGTCCCTTTTTTTCCAAAAGGTTTACAAAATCAAATCCGCTAAGTAATTCTGACAAATAAACAAACATTGCCATTTACAATGTACTAAACCACTCCAAAACACTCAATGCATACTTTTTTTGCAAGGATAGTTTCATTTTAAGTCTTTTATGACAGTGAATAATGGCTATCAACACATTTCACACCTGTGTTCTTTAGTTTTGCTTCTACACTTCAACAGTCAATTTAATTCTCTAATACCCTATTGTTTCATCTTCATTTTCTTACAAAGGATTAGGATAACAAAATCTTGTTTTAGCAAGCAGTCAAGTAAAATACTGATTATCATTAAGTAATGATAAAGTATTTGTTATGTAGCAGCAGAATATGAAATCCAGGTGCTTATAGAGCTTAAATCAGCATAATGTTGTAGTTGCTCAAATTATATTTCTGTACAGCCCATACAATAGCACTGCAGGAAAAAAAAGAACTGAGAGAAAGAATGTATATCTACACCAGCCCTGTGTTCCATATATTAAAAGATGCTGTATAAAAGCTGCTTAGCTCCAAATACTTGGTAACATATACTCAATTATGACTCTGAATAATAATTTGGACTTACTGATCGAACCACTTCACTGATCAAAATAACTGGTGTTCTCTTGCTAGGGTTTGATGGCAATATCCACTGACTGTACAGTTCAAGCAAGAACTGAGAGCAAGAATGTATATCTACACCAGCCCTGTGTTTCCTGCAAGGCACAATAAACAAGTGTTAAAATGGCTATTCTTAGGTCTTGCTAAAATACCTGATTTGAAATAATACAGTTATTTACCAGCACCCAATTTATAAAGCCAGCTTATTGAACTCAACATGAAGAGATAAAAGATTATTAATAAGTCAAAGGAAAGAAAAGACATGAAAAAAATAAGACACCTGGTGTTTATAGGAGAGGTTGGTGGAGAGGAAGGAGCAGGTACGTCATTCTCATCTTCTTCATCCTCACCCCACTCTTCTTCTCTCAGTGGAGTGATATTATTTCCCAACCACATGGAGTGTATAGAGACCTTGCAACATAAACAAGAGAAAAACAAATAACAAAGAAGCACATTTAACACCCCCACAGTCAGAGTAGAAAAATCTTACAGCCTGATACATTTTTCCTTTAAATGACAGGCAACACACAGTATTCTGGCTGAGAAGAGACACCCAGTTATGATCTACCTACCCTGCATCACTCAGAGCTCTTAGTTTCTATTTGACATTAAACAATCTCTCAACTAATTTTTCACAAACTGGCAGAAATATAATAAAAGTCAAGTTCAAAGTTGAGCTTTTAACAAACCTGTCCCAGTTTATAATCCATATCTCCTATTTCTCGTTCAGTATTGATCTGCAGTAAGAGTTTTTCATGGCTGATAAGAGCACCTACAACAAAACACAAGATGAATTCTTTTAGAAGTGCATAACAAAGTAGATGTGAAAATGGCTTCATTTCCTACAAACTGGATTTCAAATAAATTTTCCTAAGAGTATCTTTTCCACTTCTTATATGTAAAAGAAATTCACTCATCCCCTCCCCTCCCCACACAAGAACTTACCTGTAGTAGCAGGAGAAAGTGATGGAACAGGGTCCCAAGCTTGGTATAAGTGATGAGTAGCAATATTATCTCTCTTGGATACCATTGCTTGGATTTCCTGTTCGACAATTCCCCTGATAACACTTAGCTTCCTCCCAAACCTGAAAGGCCAATAGAAATCAATTTAAGCAGATTTTTCCTTTAACATTTTTGTGCAAGTCTGACTGGCTTACTCTGCAATGTTACGTGCCTGTGCTTTTTTCCGTTATCAGGGATGCTAAAACTGAGAAGTGTTGAGAAATACATTCTGCACACTGTTTGCTAGATTTTAATAAGAAATTATCTTTTTCAGATGGTCTTTTAACTCAGCAGGTTCATGATGCTCAGTCCGTGTAACTTCTTTGTAAACAGATCCATCTATATATACTCTTGCTTAGAAAAAAAAGTATACATATTTTTGCTGCAGCTTGATTAAGCAATTGTAATTATGTGTTAATCACAAATTGTATGCATTTGAAAACAAGTAAAAAACATACCTTGTGTCCAGAGCTTTTAAAGCTTTGTTGCGGGGCTGCTGTTCCAAACAACTGACTGCTGGATTGCCAGCAACAGGTATTGTCATTGCACTCAGCACCAGGGAGGTTATGGCTTGTACTGCAAGAACATTAATTTGGGTCCTCTCTGTATCTTCCTGTAAAATGAACTCACTGTGATTTGAATTGTACAAAAAACCCCAAAACAACCAACCAAACAAAAAACCCGAAAGCCCTGAATATCAGTTTGTCACCTTTCACTAAATTACCATTAATCAGCCCGACATCTAGTCTTCTTCCCATCCAGAAATCTATCTGACAGAAACAGTGCACACAAAGCACTGACTGCAGCAGGAACACATCCTTCCATCTCATCAGCCACTCTGCATGCATTCTGTCTTATCCCAACAGCATTGAAACCTCAAGATGTCCATTTTGGAACTTTTCAAGTGTTTAGCTTCTTTCTTTGCAGTTACCCATTAGTTACTTGGTGAAACAAAGCATCAGACCACAAAAGAGACTGTAAAATGGTAACAAATGTTCAACTTAAAAAACCCCTACAGCAACCTCCTTTCAGGTAGTTGTGGAGAGCATTAAGGTTCCCCTTCAGCCTCCTCCCAACTAAACACTCCCAGCTCCCTCAGCTGCTCTTCATAAGACACATGCTCTAGACCTTTCACCAGCTTTGTTGCCCTTCTTTGGACATGAATATTTTGGTATAGAAATTGGTATATAAATACATATATTTTGGTACATAAATTGGACATGAATTTTGCAATAAATTCCTTCAGCTCTGATCCCTAAATGCCCTCCCCTGAATTTTGAACGCTTTCCTGAGTTAGAAGCCCAAATATCTAATATACAGTCTACAACTTGGAGCGAGACACATCTCCAGGTCAGTTAATTTCTAGTCAAGAATCTTAGAAAAAAAATCGTACCAAAGAAACTCCCCTTGAAGTTTGATTATTAGATAGCACAGGTAATTGCAGTAATACATATTAGTCACAGTTAACTAGTATATTTCCTAAAGGCACAGTTCTCTCACACATTGTCTCTCTCAAAGTTTTTAGAGATCCTTTTGTGCCTAAAGCCAAACATCTAATCAAGTAAACTTTGAACTGTGTGGAATGATGTACTAATATAGAGTCGAAACAGCTTTTTTCCAAACTCTTTACATGCTTGCAGAAGCTTTAAGCCATAAGATGGATGTGTCTGAACTCACAGGGAAATGAAGAGAAGGAAATACAAAACAGAAAAAATGTCTTAGTTTCAGTCGCTTCTTTTCTGCTCTACAGTTTTATTAGTAGAAACATTGTTCTTAGTTTAAGTAAAATTTAAGTTAAAAAACTCAGTGAATGACATTACCTCTTGCTGGTTCTCCTCTTGATCCATTACAATAGGCTGAGTTACGAGCACACCAAGCAAAGTAGCCCAAGTCTCTTCAAACTGAGTACGGCTGATCCATCCTATGGAAACACCCAGAGACAGCCATTTATGTCAGTACAAATGTAAGCATGAAACAGCATTAAAAAAATGGGACATCATTTCCACAGATTTAGTTTCATACCATTTCCTACTGGATTTGGCATTTTTGTAATGGAACAGGCTCCCCAGGGAAGTGGTCAAAGCACCAAGCCTGACAGAGTTCAAGAAGCTTTTGGACAATGCTCTCAGGCACATGGTGGGATTCCTGGGGATGGTCCTGTGCAGGGATAACAGTTGGACTCGGTGATCCTTGTGGGTCTCTTCCAACTCAGCATATTCTGTGATTCTGTGTAATCACTAGAGTTGAGATTTAAACTGTTCTACTTTTGAAAGCGATGAAGTCCTTAGAAGGGAGTTCTGCACGTTACGATTACTATTTAAAAGGTCCTGTTCAGTAATTGCTTGTAGACATTTAAATATTACTTTGATTGTCCAATTGTCAAAGCAGTGAGATCTATCAGGTTTTCACAACACAAAAAATAATCCAGAAACTTGGCCAATTCTCACAGAAAATAAAGTCATGGAGAAACCCATAACAATTCAAGGAATCTTCATGCCTCAAAAGCAAAATGACCAAGTTGCCTAGAAATAGTCCATTAAAATTAAAGCACTTTTTAAAGTTTTCCCAACCAGATTTTTACCTATAAAAGACTGCAGAGGGTTCCTGAATAATACTTTGCAGTTTTTAGCAAGGATATCTATACACAATCAAAAACAAGAATGGTATCTTAGACATTACAGTGATCAAAGTGCTACACCACAAATCAGTAAAATATTAACCCATAGACTGGGGGGAGGGATGAATAGATGGACCCAAAAACCACAAAGACTTTCTGTAAGCATATGGAAAATTTGATGCATAATCCTTGACAGTCCCATCTGTTGACAAAGACATGAACTTTTAAGCCATACCGCTCTCGTTCAGCAAATCTTAACATATCCAGAAGCTTTAAAGTGACATCATCTCATTTTAAATGTTGAGAGTTTGGCACTAAATTCTATTTATATACTAAACTCTATATTAATAGAAAAAAGTGGGGGGAAGCAAAATATTCTCGAACATATGGACAAGTGTATGCTCCAGAAAACAAGTGGACATTCTGCAAGAGCACCTTGAAATTATCTCCCGAAGTTGGACTAGTTTTTGGCTTTATTTCTATAATTTATTCTCTGCATTGAACAAAATATAAGAATTACTGCAGCACAATTACTAAATTGCTCTGAAATACAGTATCTGTCTCCCACATAAGCAACAAAAGTAAGCAAACAGTACTAGATACAGTTATTCAGTAACTTCACAACACAGTTAAAAGCCCAATAAGAACCACGTGTATTAATTTTTAATTTTGTACATACCAAGTGTATTAATGCGATAGATGAACTCCTTAAAGATTTCTTTTTCTTGAAGAAATTCTACTGGGATTTCAGGAAAAACTGTGCCAAAGTCACCTGCAGGCTTTGGTGACCAGCCTAATTTCCACACCTAAAGAAATATAATAAAAGTTAAATTATACAAACCAGATATAGTATTTACATGACAGCTCTAAATATATAAGTACCATTCAAAAGCAACAAGATATCAGTAAATAAAGTAATTCTCCAAATACAAAAATACTTTGAGAAAGTTTGAACATCTAATACAGCTTTTATGTATTTTACACTGCATTTTTAATTTTAGGGGGTTTTTCAGCATATTTGTCACAGTTAATTAACTACTCAGTCTTATCGTCTAAGCTGGGACATAAAATTAATAAGTTCCTGTCACATATTTCAGTTTAGAATTTAGATGCCAGGTGACTCTTAGATTGTGCAGATATGCTGAAAGGGAATTCAGGGAAAATAGCTCACATACTACCGACACCTGAGAAAGCACAGAGTGCCCTCAAGAGTGCGCAAAAAATTCTCAGTCAAGAAAAATATCATTTGACATCTCTTCAAAAACAGAGAAAGGCCTGAGAAATGGCCTTGCACATATCAGGAAACTCCCTAATAAGCATGTTTCCAGTAATGGTTTTGAAGATTACTAAAACAAAGTCATTTCACAGTAGTAACAATACATGGAGGTAATCACAAGATGTTCTCAAATCCACGTTACGTAAGCCAAAAGACCCAAGATGACTTAGGAAAGAATGGTAATACCAATCCAAAAGTATTTGCATGCAATACAGGGTATAGTACCACACACAAATACCTGAATCAGTTCAGACACCTCAGCACCATTGCATCATTGTGGTGCTTAGCAAGACAGAAAATGTTGTGTGTTAAAAAGGTGTTAGTGTAGATTTTGCACTTCTTCCAGGTTAAGCAATACCACCAAGCAGTATGAAATATAAGCCCTAACAAAGCATCCAGTTCTTGCTCTTTCTTTCTTAAACTACCAGCTAGATAATTTTTCACCTAAGGAGCATCTACACTCCCTGCTAATCAAATCTGTGAATCTAACGTGAACTCTTATTTGATATCTTTACAATGTTGCAACTCAGTGTTCAAAAAGGCAAACTGGTTGACCAAACTAACTTAAGGTTGAAGTCCTACTGATGCAGAACTTGAGATGCAGCACCCATGTTTGGTTTTCAAAAAGTTTTTCAATAACTTTGAAAGTCCTGAAAACAAAGCATCATAAACATACCAAGGGAGGTACTCTTGTGTAACTGTTCACTAGAGGCAGCCTTGCTAAACTGATGATGATGTTCTTGAGGACAGGAGTAAGAAAGGCAGGGATACTGCTGTTTCTTTTGTGCCCCAGTGACAAGACAGTCTGCAAGCATTCCACCATCTCAGCTATCATTTCACACGCTGCAGTAACGTGCTTGGTTTCTTTGTAGGGAGAGAAAGAAATTCAGTTTTAAGAATCTATTCAAAAGACATGATTTTTTTAAAAAGATAGAAAAACAAAAGAATTCTTAATAAAAGAGTATGCCAATTAAAAAAGAACAAAACCACAACCATGACACATAAAAAGAAATATTCTAGGACATTTCAGCTAGTTGATAAGTAGTCCTATAACCCTCCCTGCAATGGCCTGCATTGTTTGCCAGTCTCAGAGCTGGAGATCACCAGTACCTGAGATCTGTCAGCAGAGCAGCTCCCCTGCCAACCCCAGCAAGAATAGGCCACACAGAATAGAGTATTGATGTGAATTTAAAGTGACCAAACGAATCTGTTTTATGAGAAAAACAGTCTCATAGCTGGCTCTATGCTAAACCTGAGCAGCAGATAATTTCTGTAGATGGAAGTGATATCTTACTATACCAGCACAGCTGGATATGGAGGACACTGCTGTCCACATGCAGAGTAGACCTGACCTTCACCTCAACATAGTTGCTCCCATGCTGTACAAGGGCAGATAATTAATCTGCCATTCTTCAGAAGAAATGTTAACAATTCTACCTCTCCCACATGAAATTTTAAAATCCCACAATACTTTGAAAACCTCAGTCTGTAGTATGCTGCACAGCTAACAATCCCCCAAAGGAAACAGCTGCATTAATGTTTACCTTCCAAGGAAAAGCAACTGTACCTGTCAAAAATACGTCAACCTACATTTAATAGACATTTACCAAATACAAATAAGGTCTCAGATGAACTCGCATTGTTAAAAATAATAGTAATGGAAAGGGTACCTTCAAATATTTCTTCAGTGAAAGTTTACGGTAAAGTGGAATTCACCATTTACTTACTTGGTACATTTGAATCAACTTCACCATCACTTAAAGGTTTTGAAGTATTCTTCTTTCTTTCAGGACTAAGAAGTTGATTACCAGGTTCCACAGCAACTGAATTTGAGAAAAATATTTGAAAGATACAGCTATTGCATACTTCATATTTAATTTTTCTAATCAACACCACATAGTAATCAAATGTTTAACATATCCAAGGCATCTGCCATGTTCAAAAGTAAACACAAAACTTTAAATGAGAAATTAAAGTAGTAAAAAATAAATTTGTCAAACAAATAATTAATAAGGACTCAAAGGAAATATTCCAGATCCTCACCCAGCATTTGACAGCAATGACTGATAATTTATTAACAAAATTTTCTCCTAGCTGCTCAAACTGCACTCACCTGCTTCTATGATAAATCTAATGCAATTAATTAAGGAGCAAGCATATGTTGCATGAGCTGCAGAAGCCAGCAAATTCCAGAGACTAGGCTGCTGTAGTGTCAGACAGCAACAATCCAGACCAGCTTGAAGATCTACACTTAATGGAATCTGGTCATGCATTAAATGCCATGATAGTGCCTGTGTAAAAATAGAAGTTTCCCATTAATAGCAAATTCTCACAACAGAACAACTTCTAACCAAAGGTAATTTTTTGTTAACTCAGCAAAATGTAAAGTTTTATTAGCAAATAGTACGGATTTTTTTCCTGAGAGAAGATTACAAGATTACAAGAAAATTATGACCATTGTATACTGTTTATTCAGTGTCCCAAATATCAGTGCAGAGCCCATTCTCCCAAATGCCAAGGTCATTCCATCAACCTCTCCTTGTAAAAAGCTGCTCTTGTCCCATAAGCCAAATGTGATTTACTAGCACAGGTCAAAGACCAATGAAGAAATTTCTACAATTAAGACAAAAAAATTGCCCACATCAAAAGTTACTCAGTGGTTATCAGTTTAAGACAAAGTTATTCCCTCTCCCAACATTTCATCACATCTTCAGTTATGCTGTAGTTTCTTACCTCTATTGACATCACTACAAATTTCAGGATATCATCCTCTTTGTCAGGAGGAACACGGAGACCAACTGGTAGTTTTGAGAGTAACAACAAATACTGAGCCAGTGCACGACAAAGTGTCATCATAGACTGATACAGCACCTCATCTCCTATAAAATAAGACTGGATGAAATCTAGCAGTTTGAATTTTTTCCCTTCAATAAATGCTTTTCAGAATTATTTCATAAGCACTTTTATGCCAGATATCTTGGTATTTTTAAATAGCAAGTTCATGTATTGACAACACATTGGTAAAGTATCTTTGCTGTGGAGAGAATAAACTTTAAAAGACCATTATTTCTATTACCAAAGATATCGCTTAGTTTTTTCCAGTAGGCTGATGGCTCAGGTGGCAATAGTGGTTGAAAAACCTGGTGGTTGGCAGGAAGGTTTTGTACAGCAGAAGACACGTGATCCAGAGTTACCCTCCGAGCTGTTTCAAAGAGGCTACTCTTCTGGTCCCTTGAGATTTCATTCATGCCAAGGCTTAAACAAGGTGCTAACAAGCTTAGGTTGAATTCCTGAAATCAAAGAGTAAATAAAAAGAAATTGCTGGCATACTAATATGGTGGTAAATTGACGGTTTAGCAATTAACTAACTTACTATTATGAGTTCTGCTCTATTGTGGTGTAACAACACCACAGTTAAGCCCACGTGGGTTCCACATTTAAATTCCAACCAGAACCATACTGGAAAATGCTTATTCCAGATTTTCAGGACAATGTGTGAAAAAAGCTTAAGGACAGCATATACACAAGGAATCTTCAAGTAATAAGCTTTCAAACCAACAAGTCAAACATCTTTTTAAGAACAGTTTCCCCCCTATTATTTCTGCATACCAGCAGCAAATGTAACATAGAGAATTTGAAAAAAATATGTTCTTAGAAAAAAAAGCAACAGATACAAGCTGTCCTTTATGCCAGATTCAGTATCTGTGGCCTGTTACTGGCACACTGCAAGTCATCTAGCACAGATTTTGAAAAGGTTACAGAAAAACAGATGGACTGTATGGCAAAACAAGAAGATTATGTAAAATGGTAACACAGGATTATTGTGATTGCAATACGTAAAGGAACCTTTGCTTCCACTCTATACATCCAACCTGTACTACTAGAAAGATACTATTAGCAATATTGCTAGACACAGATATCTACTGTGTTACACAAATGTCTACTATTTTAGCTTCCAAAATTAATTACAAGTATTATATAAATTTGAAGTATTTACATTTAAGAATGTAACCACTTAAGAATGTAATCTATTAATACTATCAATATGAACACTGGAACTAATTACATCCTCTTCATCTGACAAAGAAATTACCTTGCTGGTCATGAAGGAGTTCAGGTCAGGCTGAGGAATCCTATTTACCAGCTCTGCACCTTCCAGCAGTGCTGAGTCAGATCTGATGCAACACTGTGACCTCACAAGTGACACATACCAGTCCTTTAATAATTAAAAAAGGAAATTTATTACATATTTGTTTTCAGAAAATAAGACAGTTCATGGAGGCAAGAGGAGAACTGCTCATTGGCACTGAATGTCTGTTTAGGCTACAGTAGGCTAAATTAATGTAAAAAAACCTCAATGAAAAAAGCAAAGGAAAACAAACAACTGTTGAATGGAAATGGAACATCTCAAACTAGACCAATAGGTGTTCACTGATAAGTTGTCTATTTCCATAAAGTACGGAAAGGAAATGAGGAAAAATGAATCTTTATATATAGTGCAGGTGTATGTATTAAGATCCTAAAGCTGAGGAGACTATCTAGAAAGAAGCATGGAATACTCAGTAGTCACACAAACATAACAGTAATGGCAAAAACCCAATACTATAACCAAAGAAGAAAAGTCTTCAGATTCAAATAAACCCACAGATGAAGATAATATCTATCTTTTAACAATCCCTGGAATAAATTAAGACCTTGCATGACTGCAAATTTGCTCCATTACTAGTTTTCTTTATCATAACTGGACAACCTAAAATTGCTGATATTAATTAGAACACATCTAAGCCTGTCAGAGTTCAAGAAGCATCTGGACAATGCTCTTAGTCATATGATTTAGTTTTAGGTAGTCCTGGGAGAAGCAGGGAGTTGAACTCATTGATCCTCATGAGTCCCTTCCAACTTCAGATATTCTATGATTCTATGAACTATGTAGAGGTTGTGGAGGAAGCACACAAAAACTACTTCCTTTGTGCAGATTTTCAGTGATGGTGGAATTAGATTTTTTGGTTAATATGAAGACAGAAGGCTACGGGGCATTTTCTCCCGCTGTCCAAGTAGCTCTCAATCTCTCCCCTAAGCCAATGGGTTCCTCGAGTGGTTATCAGACTCGTCCAAACTGTCAGCTAATCAAATAATTTTTTCCATCTCAGCTACATATGTTTCCTATCACCATGTATCACTGTAGAACATGGAGGAATGAAAAGGAGAAATTATCTGTGCCATGGGACAAACTAGAAAAAAGGAAGGTACGGGCCCCAAAGATTTGCTCTTAGCCCCCCACTCCTCTTGGAAATACAGACAGAAATGAAAGACAGAAACAGCTAAATATTTGAGATGGTTCTCTGAAATTAATTTAAAGCTGAGAAGGGAAATGTAATGGACAAGTAATGATTAATTTTCGAGAGCCAACCAACAACTTTCAGCAAATGAATAAAACTAATCACTGTAGTAAACACATAAAACCCCCAGATTATTTATCTGTCTCTACTAAATCTTTCCGTTAAAGTCAGGCAAAGAAACCAAATTTGGTAAATTTTTCACAGCACTGTCAATATAACAAACATCTATGCAAGTGCTAATTATTCACCCTAAGTTCAACAGTCAGCCAACACGTATGAAATTAATCACTGATCTATATTTGAGATACACTGACAATCCTGAGAGCATTAACTGCACAGTAAAAATAAGATGCATTTATATATTTTGCAATTTTAGTGACTCTTTCTAAACATAATCTTACTTTGTCTAGAATTACATTCTCTAAAGCTGGTTGGTCTTCTCCATCTAATGGGTGTGAGGTAACCAGAGGTGAAGGACTAGTTGTGTCTGGTGCTACCATAAGACGAAACCTATCCAAGAGCGAGTAAAGTCTTTGGTGTCTGAAAACAGAAGAACACATCAGCAGAGAACTAACTCAGTTTTGTAAATAATTTAAAAACACAAAGACATCCAGTGAATCAATTCCAATCCCAGGAGAGAAAAGCAGTAGGGTCTTAAGTTTTTGATGGATATATGCAGTCATAGGATGCAAAACTGCAAGTTTCTCCAGATATCAGTGGCCAAAACAAATTAACTCAGCACCACCAACAGTAAACATTTAAATTTAATTTAGTTTTAGAATTCGTACAATACTTAAGCGTGAAATACAAGCTGTTCAGTTTCTTTATGTAGCAAATCTTTTTAATGAGTAAGAAGAATCAAAGTTAGTGTACAGATTATTTGTTTGCAGGCAAATACATTCTAAAAGATACTAATGAAGAATCCACTAAACCTATACTTTTATTTTCAAATATATTAAGAATTCCAGTTTTTGGATTTATGTCAGTGTCAGGGATTTTTTTTTGGGGGGGTAAGGGTTCTTTTGTTTGGTTGTTTTGGGTTTTTTTTTTAATTCCACTACTGCTATCAAGAACTTGTACAAACTAATTTTTTTGGAGTTTTTTTTAAAAATTCAAATGTGATGTTACCTATGAAGGCATGTTACTATTGATCTACTGCAGTCTTGGGTTTTAGGTTCTTTCTCCCTACTTATTTCTCATTTCAGTCAACAGACATTAACTTCAAACATCAATGACAACAAAAGTAGTAAATAAAGATCTTTCCAACATCAAATAAAGTTTTTTCAGAAACTGAATAATTTGCTCCTTTTTTCTAAAAGCAGTCTGGGGAAAAACAAAACCAAACCAAACCAACAAAAACCAATCCCACCTAGCTTGGACTCACAAAAGTTTGAAAAAAATAAAGTTGGTTTTACTAATATAGCTTTTTGTCAAGAAATTACTTTGAGATTGCTGCTTCTCAAAAGTTAAATACTGAGTGGGATGCAGGACAGAGAATTTGATGATATCACGCCTTTAGCTTGCTGCAATTCTTAAGTTTATTGCAAATTCAACACAGCAAACACAACTGCCCCTGTGCCAGAATATGCCAGCATTTTATGAGAGGCTTTACTCCTATTTTACCTCCAAAAAGACCCACTATCTGATCTTTAAAAAAACCCCCAAATGTACGAAAACAGAGTTAACACAATTAGTACTAAAACATTATTTAGTTTGACACTTTAACACATACTGGTATTATTGGTATTATTTACCTTGTTGCTAATCCACTGTTTTGAAGGTACTCCTGAATTCTATCAAGTTCTTCAACTGGTAGCTGAGCAATGCTGTTCTATAGGAAAGAGTCACAAGAATTTGACAGAAATATGTAAAATCCCCACAGATACTTTTAACAGATTAAGAAAGTTATAGGCAGATTAAGTGAAACGTAAACATTCATGTATCCATATATTAAATTTAAAAATTCCTTTCCAGTGAAATCACTTTGACATCATATTTTGATTAACTTTAAACCATCACATTTGATTATATTGCTGGCACTGCCCAATGTTGTCTAAAAGAATGGATTTCTCTTTACCTGCAAAGTTGCAGCCAGAAGCATTTCCACCCGCCGACAAGCCAGAGTGTCGACCATGCGGGCGAGCACCCGGAACGGGGTGCACAGGAGCTTATCCACATACAGGGTCAGGACAGCCCCAGACTGGCTGAGATGTATTCCCTCCAAGCACTGCAAAGTCTTCTTCAGAGTTGTGGGCTAGGTGTTGAAACAAAACAAAACACAAAAAAAGAAAAAAAAAAAAAAGGCAATCAATCGGAACACAAAGATCTTAAAGTGAAAGGCATTTACAAAAAACTAGAGCAGACAACTAGCTGATCATTATTATTATCTATATGTTAATAGGTTTGAGTTACTGGCTATTTAATTAATATGAACACTAAGTTGTTTGATGTGTAACTGTAAAAGTGCACTCTCACAAAGAAAAGTAGGGAGCAAAACTTTTAGGGAAAAAAGCTAGAGACTTCAGTGAAATTGCAAAAAGCTTTGAAAATGGTGAGAAGCTTCAACTCTTGCTGGAAGAAGGCAGGAATATGAGAATAGTCAAGACAAGAGATGCACAGGAATCCAGAGAAGCATTAAGGATTTCTTGAGCACATGTTCAGTCATAAAAACAGCGACAGCTACACATGATTAAAAGGGGTTGCAAAGAATTTTTAAAATTTCTTTTATTTTTTAAAATATGAGCACCAATTCAGCACTAATAATCTAAAGGAAAAAAACAGTCTGACTCATGAAGCCAGTCTTGTTTTAGAGCAGGTTGTAAATATCAGACATTTTTATTTTACTGTCTTTTCTGATATTCACAAAACATCTCACAGAATGACTACACCTTCCATTCAAACTTATTTATTTTAGTTAATTTGACTGATTCTCAGATACTGAAGCCCAGATTAATCCTATGTAACTTGAAAGTGTTTTACTCACATGCCTAAAGCACTAATACATTTGCACTAGATATGCAGAGACAATGGGAAGAGATAGGAAACATCACTGAGGCTACTCAGGCTGTAGGTGGCATCTTCCACAATTAACTCTAGAGAAAGTCCAGCGAATTACATTTCCCACCTAGTGAGCTCCCAAGATTAAGAGGGATGCATACAACCTTTTATATCCCTATAAAACATCATTCACTCCTTTTAATTTGAAACCAAAATAATCAAGAGAAATCATACCCTGAATTTCTTGGTGATTTTCCCTCGCCAAGAGTCTACAATTTTTGGGACAGATCAATGGGCAAGGTAGGAGCTTGCAAATCATTTTCATATTCTCAGAGCCTATGAAGACAGACTGATTCATACTCTTGCCTCTATAGTTTGTTATTTATATTACCAAGGTACTGAAATACTGAAATCAGAGGCGAAAGTTACAGCTTTCATTTACTCTTCAGGTATTGATTACGTGGGGTAATAGCCAGAAAGGAAGAAAAGTAACTTAACCATCTCCACTTGAATTCATAGATTGGATGGACTGGAACACATCTGACACTGATGCTGCTAATATAAGGTTTGCTGTTTGCATTTTAAACAAGTGACTTTAAAAATAAAATTAGGAGTCAATAAGTGACCCAGAAATGTCAGACTTCGCGTACTTACCAGTTAAACTTATGCTGAAATGTAAGCAACGTTATTCTTTACAAAAAGTCTATCTAGATAAACTTACAGCTGCAAGATTCTCACACCGTGACTGAATGGCCTGGATGAAGAGACCACTGGCTGCTGAATTCCTGTGAACAGCACTAATGAAGTCTTGTACTGGAGGCTCATGGGACAGATTAATCAAGTCTTGAACATGATTCACAATAAGCCAGGTCAGATGTTCTGAATCATGTAGATTTTGACACTAAAGGGGAAAAAATTAAAATTTGATTCCAGTAACACCAATGTTAAAACTTAATTACTAAATATGACACAACATGAAGTTTCTCATATATAATTCTGACAGCTACTTCGAAATAATGACATAAAGTGTCTATATTTTAATATCACCATCATTATTTTTACATGACAAATTTTCCAAATGCTTTTGATCTTGTTGCAAATTTAGATATTTATAATGAATGTGCAAATTATTTTTTTAAAAACACTAAAAACCCAGGTTAGAAACAAGTAAATTGAGAAGGTCAATTCAAAGATGTTGCTTTTAATGAAATGTTGTTTGAAATAAACATGCACACACAGAGTTGTCTTGTAAAATGTAATTTTCACTTAGGCTTCTTCTTAAAGATTTTTTATTACTACTGGCCTTTAATACAAGATGAATAATTCCTGGAAAACAAATCCAAAGAAATCTGTCAATAATTAATGTCAAACCTAAAGAGGCTGTATGTGTATTGACAAGCAGTGCAATGCAACATGAAAAGATCTGTAGAGTTAACCAGGCGATGCTGAGAGGCTGTCCCACCCCAGCAAAGAGGTTTGGGAGGATTTTACCTTGGACTACCTCTAATCTGACTCTGGTGACTGAATGTCCATTAATACTTGAAGTGCTTCTTACACACAGCTTTTGGTTAATTGAATCTGAAAGGAATGCAGTTTGCTTGCCTCAAAACCGCTCTGCAATGCAAACCAGAGTGCAATACTAGATATGACCAGAGGATTCACCTCAAAGGTTCCCAATGAAATAAAATGCTAATATTGAGGCAGTGAGAGGCCAAAGCCACAGGAACTGCTGTCATTAGAGAAACAAAATGGAAGTTAAATGTTAAAGTAAAACCTCTCCTCTTAAGGTGTAGATACAAAAATCCCTTGTCTCCTGGACATTATGCACTGCTACTGGCGTTGGGAAACCTAAAACTACTGAGTGTGCTCCAAGCACCTGACAAGTAAGGGATATGATACCCAGCAGATAATTCTATTACCCACCAGGTATCCATTACAAGCCAAGAGAATTCTCAGTTCAGAATAGCAAAAAAATGCCAAATGAAGTCATATCTAATCTTACAGAAGCACCATCCAAAAATAAAATTATTCATTTCACAAGTCTTCATTTTTCACTTGTGAGCCAGACAGGTTCAGTTAACACACACCAATAATAAATGACTGCCACCATCATAACCCAAAACTGTAGTTATAAAAGTCATAATTCAAAACTTACAACATAGTCACAAAAAAGAATGAGTGCTCCTCTTCTCACTATCTCCCGATTGCACATGCCCCGTTTAGATTCCAAATCTGTTTCATCACTGTCTCCAGATATATGAGGGCTAAGCAATTTAGTAGTAGAAAGACTGTGTCGCCTGCAGGAAGTACATTATATTTTGTTACGATTTTCTTGCTATATTTTCTTGGTACAGCTACTGAAACATTAACAACCAAATTGCTTGGAATGTCCTACCAATGCCCTTACATAACATATATTTCCCTATGAACTACATTCAAACATTACTCTGCTTTGAAGTAGACACTTGGCTTCCCATCAGATCTTTATTTTTTAACAACTGCAGTATTGCTTATTACTTTTTTGGACAGTCTAAAGAATTAAACGGGTTATTTAAAAGAGAAACATGGGCTATTGCATCTCTGGGAGGATAACAGAACCTACTGTATTTTCTTCTCAAGCCAAACCAGTGCTCTTGAGCACTCAGTGTAGTGTCAGACTGGAATGATGCACAACCCAGAAAAATAGAGACAATACCGGTAAATCAAACCCATGTCAGAACAGACAACGCAGTACATGTAAAGTAAATGCAGAACTACATTTCAGAATCCAAGCAGCACTATTCAGTGGGCTGATAGGCTTAGCAGAAAGAAGCTAGATTGCTTTAATAAGATTTTAGCAAACATAATCATATGAAACACATGGCTACTACTAGGGAACAAAAACCAAATCTTACTTTGGGGTTTGATGCACTTCTGACCACCAGTTGTAGTTGGTATAATTGACAAGAAGCAGGATTTGACACCAGAGGAGAACTAAAGAAGGATGTGTGGGAATCATGGACTGAACAAGGTCACTCAAACTTTCAAGGGTGTAGAAACTACCATCAGATCCATCTCCTGTAAAAAGCCTGGTGGCTGCAGCTGTGATTCTTCTAAACATCCCTAAAAACAACAACAAAAGCATGTTAAGAGTAACTATGCTTTAGTCTGAATTCTGAAGACTCAAAATTATTCAGGGTAGAATTCCTGCAAGAAAGGTATATTCTAAGTGGTTTTATAAATTTAAGGCAAGTGATGGAGTTTGCCCAAGGGCAGTGTGTAAACCAGAAATGATCAGGTCTCAGACTCAATAAATAATGTTTTAGATAGCTTTGATTCTAATTCTAATTCATCTGATACATGAAAACTTTATTAAATTTAAAATTTTCAATGCAGGACCAGGACTTTCTTGTTTGTTTGTTTATAAATTAAAACACAGATGTTCTAATTAAGAGCCATGATGGAACTACTATTCTGCATGTTAAGGAAGAAGGCTTACAAGTATCTTAGTTCAGAGGATGGCTTTCCAAATACATTTAATTGAAACTAAACTTATACCCTTCCATCCAATTTCTAAAGTGCAAAAAGTGTTTCTGCCATTACCCTGCATACTGAACACTCAGCACAAAAGCAAAATTTTGCTTTCTGACTTGCTCATTCTGTGTTCATATGCCAAAACAAAGGGTGGGAAAACAAGAAACATGAAAAGGGGGGGAAACAAGGAAAGCTGTCTAAAGGTATAGAACTTCTTGAGTTTCTGTGAGAAGATAAGACCAGGGTAAAAAAAAAAGGGTTCCTTCAGAGTAAGTTAGAAACCAAGAGCTAACCAGAATAATGAAGGAAATCTGCAGAGTTACTTGCTTGCTTTGCCAGATATACAGAAGAATGAAGCTGTAAATTCCACATCCATGTGGACAAGTTTAAGCTGCCCCCAGGGCTGATAAATACACAATGTAAACAGCAAAGAATGGGAAAAGTAACTGAGTCTTAAAACTCTGGTTCCACTTACTAGCAAAGCAGTGCTAGCACCATTCCAGCTTCCTGCACTGGCAGGAACTGCACCATCTAGTGACTTCCCACAGTCATGAAAGCCACTGCATGCTCATCTTTTCACTTGGTCTGTGCCTTTTATTTCTACTGAAAATGTTCACTTATAATCTAGTAGCTCCTACATAGGAGTCAGTAACACTCATATTTTGAAAACACTGTAACAGGTGAGAAGACAAAACTAAGTAGAACAGTGGTTAAAAACAACAGAATACAGTCTGTGTTTCCAGACACAAGTTGCTATAAGCTACACCTCTAGTTAGGAGCATATAACTTCAAGAGAAAATAGATATGGAGGATTTAACTGAACAAAAGAAAAGTATTACAAAACCAGGCACTTAGTTAATCCTAAACCTAAACAAAAATGTTATAACATGAAAACACAGCCCAGGTGTCAGAACAATGTTTCTTCTACTCTGTTACGCCACATAAATACTAGTAGTAATATTATACCCTAAGTTATTTGTAGTTTTACATTAAATTAATTTCTAGAGATCGTGCAATACACATATCCCAGTGTTCTGCATGAGTATTTTAATATTTAATTTTCCATGAAAATTTCTACATAATTCCTGGAAAGACTCCCAGTGCAGCCTGGAAGCCTGTCACTGCAGCAGAACTAGGTGCTTTCCCTTTCCATTATCCCCAGCTGCCACTGTGGAAGAACCTATTTCCCCAGTTTCAATTGCCAGCTTGATTTTCTGATTTCATTGCTCCCGGCTTGACACCAATTAATCACTTACTCCAAAACACTTTGGCATAAGTTATTTGTTATAATATTTTTTCAGGTGTTTCTCCTAAACAGAAATAGTATAAACAATTATTACTCTAACAGACACACGGGAAGAGAGCTGTCAACTCACTATACCCCGGGTTCTGTGCCCCAAAGCACCCTTCAAAGATCAAGGAAGGCTCTGGTAACTGTCACCAAATTTTGTGCCTCTTCATGCACAGTCCTGGAGTCTTACACCAAGAACTTTGGTTTAGAGGACTCCATTTCTTAAGCCAAAGCTCTCTGCTGACAAGTCAAAACATCATCCACCATAGCTGAACAAACTCTCAAAATGTAATTCAATTGGTTTCCCTCTCACTTTTCTACCTGTTAGTGTCACTGAAGACTCAGAGGAGTGAAGCTACTGGAAGTTAAACCACAGCGATGCAGAAGCTTTGAGTTAAGATAGAGAACTAATTGAAGACCCAGAACAAATCCATCTGCACTTGATTTGTTTTAACTCTACACCTACAATGCTTATATTTGCAAGAGGCAGCTTGCAGGAATGATAGGAACAGAACTAAGATTTTTTTCTCAAAAAAGGACTTAAACTGAACTCTGTAGGAAGAGCTTGAAAAGAAAAAAAGATCTGAGATGGTTGAGATACAATGGAGCACTGAATCGACTTAAATGTCTAACAACAGTATTCTGCATGCAGTTTCTTGTTATTCACTTCTGCTAAGTAGTACTTTAACTCCCATTTTGTAGACCGAGGCAATGGAATGCAGAGTTCTTTGTTCCGTATCTGCAAGGAGGTCTATGAAGAACCAGGGATTTGTGCCAAGACCTTTTAAATTGGAGACAACTACAGTTAATCCAAGGTTGGATTTCAGCTGCAAGCTGAAAATCAGTACTCAAAAAGGGCAGTCATAGTAAAGTAAGAATAAAAGAAGAAAGGGAAGATAGTGCCACTACTAGGAAAATAAGACTAAGGAATCAATCTAAGGACTAAGGAATTACAAAGGGCCAGATTACTGGGTATCGAGCAGAGGATACCTAAAGCAGAATTTCCAAAACTGGAAATTTGACCAGTTAGCTGGAACAGTGCTACCTTTCCTATTTTTCTGGGGATTTGTTTGTTTTATATGTTTTTATTAATTATGACAAAAACAAAGGGAAGTTACCTTGTCATGAGTCTGAACCAGTGGTCTGTAACTCAGTAAGTTTAAGCCTGGACAGACCTACCAACCTCCAAACTGAGAAAAACCATGAGAAATATGGCCAGAAATTTGGAACGCTTTGCACTTTTTTGGATTGGAAGATTTTAGACCGTGAAAAAGGAGAGATGATAAGTCACTACTTAGATTTTGTTCCACAAAGGAGAAACGTGAAAAATGTGCCCTGCATACACAAGCACAAAAGTTTGGGAAGTTTTTTATATGGAGTAAAATATAACATCTTCAGCACCTACATACTCCTCGGTAGTTCAATGCATTCAATAGTTGTCTTAGAACTGAAAAACCACTCTGCCACTGCATGATACAACACAATGTTTCAAGTATTACCTGATTTGAAGATATGTATTAAGCACATAAGCAGTGTGCCCAGCTCCTGGCAGTAGAAAGTATGTTGCTGCTCATTCATGTCCACCTTTAATTGCTTGTTAACAATATCTTCCAGTAGAATGCCAACCAGTTGTAATAAGAATCTTGAAAAAAAACACATACACAATCAACAGGAAAACTATCAATGCAACATCTTTCAGAACAAGGTGAGTTTTGCCTGCATAACTTAGTCAGGTTTAAAAAGTAAAATATGAAGCCCTTGACCACTCATCCTAAAGAGCATACTAAATGAAACACTACAGAACAGGTTGACCTGAAACAAATATGATGTTATATGATCATAAGCAGTTCAATAATGACATACTGGATCTAGATTATCTACTCCATCAGCTGAAGTTATGATAGGATTCATACACTATCCCACCTCACTTGCCAAGCTTATATTCAAAATGTTATGGTGTCTTTATAGTGATTTGCCTTGAGCTAAGAACAAACTGTGACAGTTACCACAGCTCAGCTGAGCAGAGGTAATTCAGCAAGTCACAGTAATTCAGCTGTTTACAGCCTCATCTATCCACACTCTACTACACAAGTTCTGTATCAAACCTCAAGATGGGGCAATGGGTGGTGTCAAAATAAGCAACGAAAAAGAGCATTTGAGGAAAGCCATCCTTGCTGTTGGCCATAACCATTACCCACATCACTGTTGTTGGGCATAAGGTCACAGTATGGGTGCCCAGAAGCCCCTATTCATCACCCTCACAGTGAGCTCAATAATAGAAACAGCATTTTATTCCTATCTGAAGTTCCATACTTGCGTAAAAAGTCCTTATTTTCTTAAACAAATATCTATTTCAAATGTTTCCCACCACATTGAAATACAATGCCTTAATGACAAACATTCTGTAACGTAATACCACTGCCCTCTCTCCACGTTTCTTTTGCCTGAAGTTCATCACCCTCTGAGGACATCAACATGAGAAGCTAACTAGACAAAGACAGCTCTTGAAAAATAGGAAATAAACAGCAGGACTAACTCAATAGATTTGAATCCCACGGCTGCCAAGATTCCAGTACAGTACCTGGGCTTCTACTTAAGGAAAGGACTTGTCTTTTAGTCACCACACAGAAAGGAAGGGAAGGGTTAAGCAGTTAAGTTTTTGGACCTGATTTTAATAAGTCCAGGATTCACCCATTTTAACAGCTCCATTAGGTCAATCCCTTGGCTTGAGAAGAGGTACCAGAACAGTCTAAAGTCTCTGCTCAACAAACTGCTTATGTACATCCCTGTCCATCTCAGTATTGTTTCCTCCACACACACTTGTCTCATATCAACTTATTAAGAGACTTTATTCTTATCAGAAACAGTTCTATACATGTAAAATAATGCACAATGTATTTGTGATTTCTCAGAAACCAACATCTTTCCCCTAAGTTATTCAAAAGACAACATACCTAGAAAATGTCTCTTCAGGCAGATATTTTGCCTGTTTACCCTCAGTGTGATCCTCTGGCGTGGATATGTTTTCTCCACATCTCAGTCTGTTAATTGCTTGACATGAAATCAAATAAGGTGAGAAGGAAAGCTCTTGTATACGGGATAGAACGATGTCTTCTGTTGACTGTGAAATCAGAACTCTAAGGATAGCTAAAATTCCAGAAATCCAGAGCTGGACAGTGCTCACTGATGCCTAACACAAACATAAAAAAACAGAACACTGAACACTTTTGAGGTTAAACAACACAACATAAGAATGTATTAAAAAAAAACCCAAAAACCAGACCCTTCTCAGAACGGAACAAGCAGGAAATAACTTTTAAGTTCAGATCTTCCAAAATGCTATTCTTGTGGTAGCTGTCAAGCTTATATTCACTCTGTTAAACAATCTCTCAACTATAAAAACGGTACTAATACTTGCATAAGAAAAATGTGATTTATCTATCAAATTGAATTCTAGACTATTGTAACAGTACCTTTTTCTCTATTCCTTATCCTCAAAATACAATATGAAGGCAAGTAATCCATCAGCAGAACATTCCTGTATAAAGCACTTGGTAAATCATATTAGTTCTAACTAATTCATTCCCAAAATCTGCTGCAGGTACTTTAACACTACATAGCAAATTATTAAAGAGAAACACATTTTCTTTTGTTTTGCATGAAAGCCACCAGATTCTTTCTTCTCTGGAAACAATTGCTTACCATTGTTTTAGGAGTAACAAACATACTCCTTAAAAGCATGTCCACAGGGCGAAGGGATGAAGGAGCCAAAATTTCAAACAGAGTGTTCAATACTCCCAGAGCATCATGAGAGTCTATATGCATCTGTAAAAGAAAACCATAAAACTAATTTTTAACTATGCACTAATGGTAACTCCAACATAAAATTACCATTTCATGTTTTAAACATTTCTATGACAACCTGTGTGCTTTACAGTACAAAATTCAGAGCAACCAAAAGCCATAAAGGTAAATTAAAGTTTCATTGTAGGCCTTTCTACACCTGAATTTTGATAACATGGACAAAAACCTATTATATGAAATCCAGTATACATACCACATATATTTTTTAGGAGAAATAGGCCTTATTCAGAGAATGAGACCAGAAGACTGAGTTGTTACAAAATTTAAAATTTTTCTCCTCCTTGCACATTCTACCAAGTTTTTTTATAGAGAGCAATGCTGGTCTTGAATAAACTTAAGCAGGTAACTACAAGGAAAAAAACCTCCTAATCATCAGAAAAGTGCACAGCTCCAGTGGTATTAAAGCAACAGAGGCAAGACAGCTTATTTGAACAGTTTTTTAGATAAATTCTAAAACAATCAACTACAAAAAGCAAAGGACTGAACTATAAATCTAGATGCCCCAATCCTGCTTAAATAATTTGACAGTTGATCACGTGCAAAGTCATACAAAACAACATAAATTTCAATTTGCCAACATTTTAGCTTTGCTCAAAACCTGCTCTCTGATCCTGCCCACTCTCCCCAGCCATGAGATCTCCTCCTTGGACTGGGGAACTGCCAACATGGAGCAAAGAACATTTAGGGCACAATTCACTAGTTCTACTTTTTATCCTTGAAGTAAGTGTTTCTAATTCCAGAAAAGCTGTATCAAAGACAAGTCCTCTATTGCTTAGGGAGCAGCACTGAAATTTTTTTTTCTAAAAGGAGTCTTCTTTACTTCTCAGATATGAAGCACCCACTCTCCTGCCCCAGTATGCAGTCCAGTAGGAGAAACATGCACGCTGGAGGGAGTCTAGTTACACAGATGGTTACTGGCTTGGAGCACCTGTCACACAAGTGGTAGCTGAGATTATTCACTCTGGAGGAGGCTCAGGGTGATCATCAACGTGCACAAGTATCTGACCAGAGGAAGCAGAAGGAGACGACAAGCACAGAAGCAAGAGCCAGAATCTTTTCAATGGTATCCAGTACCAGGATGAAAGGCAATAAGTACAAGTTGAAATACAGGAAATTCCATCTAAAGACACTTTTATTTATAAAGGGGAAGTTAGGCAAAAGAAAAAAAAAAAAGCCCAAAAAGCCAGTCGTGTCCTGGGCTGCATCCAAAGCAGCATGGGCAGTAGGTTGCGGGAAGTGATTCTGTCCCTCTACTCTGCTCTGGTGCTGCATCCAGCTCCAGGGTCTTCAGCAGAAGGACACTGACCTGCTGGTCATGAAGATGCTCAGAGGGCTGACCACCTCTACTACAGAGACAGGCTGAGAGATGGGGTTGTTCAGCCTGGAGAGAAGGCTCTGGGGAAACCTTAGAGCACCTTCCAGTACCTGAAGGGGGCCTGCAAGGGAGCTGGAGAGGGACTTTTTACAAGAGCAGGTAGTGATACAAAAAGAGGAAATGGCTTTACACTGAAAGAGGGTGGATTTACATCAGATATTGGGAAGAAATTCTTCACTGGGAGGGTGGTGAGGCACTGGAACAGGCTGCTCAGAGAAGCTGTGGCTGCCCCGTCCCTTGAAGTGTTCAAGGACAGGTTGGACAGGGCTTTGAGTATTCTGGTCTGCAATTAGACCCACTGTAGCTATGAAAAAAAAGTAATTTTGACATTCGGACAATCTTCAGGCCATTTAATAGGTGTTCTGATATAACCATGTATCTAAGAGAAATCAAATGAGCCTCCTCTGGAGACAGTCTCAATCATAGTGCACATACTTCATGCACCTAAATATGAACTTCATCACTTCAGAAACTTACTTTACCTTGCAGTAATTGTTTTTTCCGGATATGGCAACCACAGTTTCAAGAAAATTTGTCTTCATATTAAAAAAAAATGAATTCAAATACCCAAAGCCATTATTGATACATATATTACAGCAATTATTTTAGATGTTTATAGACTAAAAACAATCATATAACCACCTGTTGCTTTGCAAGCATTGGGAGAATAATGTCAGCTATTTGCCGGGACAATCTCTTCCACTTGTCTTCATTTTCTTTATGACACTGCTGCAATACTAAGATGAACATTTCTAGTACCTGAGGAAAAGATCAAAAGAATGTAAGTAAACACCAATACTAACAAGTAACATTCAAGTAATACTACAGTGGGAAAAATATTCATTGTTTCAATCATCTGCCAAAAAGTGGGGAAAAAAATCCCACATGAGAAATCACACAACATTTATAAAAGCCCATTTTCAGGATAAAAGCCTGTTCTTAGTTACAACTTTTTTGCCGTTAATGGTGATTTTTAAAGAATTTTCCAGTTATTTTTATAAACTACAAAAAAATTGCTTTCTTTATCCTTTCTAAATGGTATTTGGCAAAAGAATACACAAACAACTAAGAAAAGGATCAGAAATCTAAATGCTGCACCACTAATTCAACAGAAAGGGAAGGAAGGAAGAGAGCAATTTTCCAAATGTATACTCTGTCTTTAGCTCCAATAAAGTTTACATTTGGTCAAGGAAACAGAACAAACACTTTCATGGAGCTTGTTCACCTGAGATTTGTTACTTCCATATAAAAGTTTACAAGAGAGAACATAATGGGGCACACCAAGCAAGGATCACTTCTTGTGCTGAATGAGTTACGGGTTTGAAGGTTATAGAGACTATGCTTTGAAAGACAGACAGGTCAAAGACACAGCAAGCAACAGTGTTAATATATTGAGTGGGAAGTGGGACAGAAAAAACTGGTTCAGAAAACAAGTTAGAACACTTGTCAAAGAAATTCAAGTAATTCAGATTAGGCAGAGAGAGATTCCCAGGTGACTTTCTTCCCAAAAAACTTTCACGTGAGAGAGCAGACAGAAGTGATTCTGGCCCGAATGTCTTGAACTCTGAAGTTCCATGGGTGGAGTTAAAGGCTGCAGCTTTTGGAACCTCCCAGATTTACAGAGACACCACTTCAGAGCATCCCAGCCACAGCCAGGGAACAAGAGAATAGCCCAGGGTTAGTTTATATATATGGCACCAGCAGAACAAGGCAGAATAAGAGCTACAAATGGGATGGTGTGGGAAGAGCAGTGCAGGGGTGGTCTTTAATAGGTTAAGTGTGTCAGAAGGAGATCTGCCAGCAATTGCAGTACCTTATGTAACACAAAATTATTCACTATTTCACATCATGTGTCTACAGAGTGTCATTTCATATAGTTATATTAGTCATTTTATGATTATAAAACTACAAATTCAAAAGAAAATGTGGATACACAAAATTATCCCAATCTGAACACGCAGTTCTAACAAATTATTTTGACAAGATGTACTGACTTTTTTCCAACTATTCTCAGAAAATACAGTGCTTACATTAGCATACACTAGAATTGCATTTTGAAAGGATGAAAGGAACATTAAGTTTGTTAAGCACCTGAATAAGCAATAAGATCCCATGTTGATCATGTCACTTCTCTTAAAATTACTTTTATGTTTTTCTTTTAAACAAAGTGTATTGAAGAAAGTCATTGTTATACTCCTACAAAGCAGAAACATGTTTTCCAAATCCATGAGGTCTGGGTCAAAGTAGTAAGTGATAACAAATACCTAATTACCAGTTTCATTACCTTGTTCAAATAAGTCTTATTCAAGATAGTGCTATTGTACAGTAAAATCATCCTTATGTAGAATCTTTCCTAATTTTAAACTTGTCTTCTCTTCCATTTTACCCCCATTCTTTTAAGTTTCTTCTCTTCCACTAACCTTCTATGTAATCTGTCAGCAACACAACCAAGATCATGATCCTAACTGGAGCATTTCAGTGCGTAGTTATCTAGACTTGACTACAAAATTCTACAGACATGTTATTTTACTTGAAATACTGATTTGTAACGCAGAACCTTTCCCCTACCCTCAAAGATCTTTGCATGCTCACTCTATGGGGAAAGCTATCACACAGAGTCCAGCTACTCAACTTTCATATAGAAAATTGTTGATATTGCCTGAAGCATTTTTAGCAGTCACAGCAATGCTACCCTTTTATAGACCATAAACAGGGATGCTTTGTCCTCCTACCTGATGGTACTGGATAAGTCTCAGCAGCATTGATACCACCACCTCCTTCTGCGTCTCCAACTCTTTCCCAGCATCAGCTTTATTTGTTCCTCTTAACACAAAGAGATCATGAACAATGGGTTGCAGAGCTGGTATTGCTGAAATGAGATGTTTTTGTTTTAGTGTCAGAAAAGTCACTCTTAAACAGTGATTTCTTGATCTAATAGTTCAGTTACTAAAAGTAAGCTCGGCTTTAGTTTATTAAAGGTTCTACCCATACCCAAAAAAACTCCACAAACCCCAAATTTGTCATGCATAATGATGGTTATCTTTTCACTTCTAGTAGAAAATTTACATTTTGGACACATTTGCCCATTCTCATAGGGCTAAAAAAAGATATTTTTATAAAGTATTTCTCAGCAGAATCACTGGAAAGTATGAAAGAGAGGTTTATTTACAGGCTGAAAGAAAAAGGGAAGTGGACTAAAAATTAAATCAAAGCCTTGAACGTACTGCTATGTTGTCAGCTCATTACCTAATAAAGTTTCAAATAAAAGCTTTGTTGCAATTATGTACGATGCAAAATGTGGGGCAGCAGTGTTAGTATGGTTTAATAAACTTCCTGAAGGAATTGAGATTATTTGATGTCTTAATTTTAAAAGCTAGTGTCTTCTGGAACAGTCAGTATGATTATAGTTTTCTACAGCTTAGTAGCCAACATTGGTTTTATTGCTGAATTTTTGCTATTACTAGTGTTGGTGCCTTTTTTCTTTTTTTTTTTTATTTACTAAAATTTTTTTTTAGAATTACCATGTGTAACAGCTTTCCTTCCACTGGCCATGATACCATCACACAGCTGAATGATCTTGGGAATTCCAATTATTTGTTTGGAATGATACCGCTCATAAGACAGCAACACCAGGAAAAAGAAGATATTAGGAATAATTGCTTCAGACTCCCTGAAAATGAAACAAAAATGTAAAGTGTCAAGTTTGAATTGCACAGCTTTCTTCAGTAAAACTCAATCTTTCTACAGTCAGGTTTTTTTAAACAATGTATTGTTCTGCTTTCATATAGTATTTCTATATTTTCTGTGCCCTGTTCTGTATGATGGATTTTTTCCCAAGGGGCTTTCTTTCAAGCTTTGACCATTACAGTTACTGATATTATAACATACTATCTAATGCACATGAGACATCAGCGTATTTCTGTAGGAGATCCACAGAGCAGGAAGCCAACTTATCTCTTCATACAAACTCAAGTGTGAGAAAAAACAGAAATAACTGACAGTAAAAATTTCACTGCCTTGCTTATGATCAATTAGGTCCTATACAAAGTGTACCAGGTGATCAGAATACACAGGGATTCACTCTGAATCCACAGTAGTAAGAAGTAGCTCTCCCTTAAGCAATTGAATCTAGCAAAGAAATGCCGATTCCTGAAAGTATAGCTCTGGTGGGGGGTCCCAAAGAATGGCTTTACAATACCAAAATGGAGAAACATAACAGCACAGTTTCACATTGTATTCCAACGTGTTACTTCCTGACTTGTTCAATCACATGGAACCTAAAACATCTGAAAGGGTTACCACTGAAGCCAGAGAAAAAACATCACATTACTCAGAAGGGAACTCTCCCTTTTTCATAAGGCAGAAATAACCAGGAAAACTATCACTATTTGCTTCAGAATGAGACAATTGTAAACCCACACTGTTCAAAGGATCATTGCAAATGTCGTACCTGAACTGTCCTACTTCGATGTATTCAAACTGCTTTAGCACAAATCCAATAAACACCTAAAGAAAGAATAAACCGTGCATCAGAACGGACACATTAATTCCCATTTGACACCATTTTGACAGTTACAGATGGGCACTGAAAATCACTTACACTTATAGTTCATTCTAAAATGTTATGAAATGTTCCCTCTACAATCCTGTTGATGTTACAGCTTATTACAGTTTGCATGAACTTAGACCATGTTTTACCCATCGTCTCTATATTTCTCTTTCACTCATGTAACACAGTATTTGAGGCATTACAGTCAAGAAGTTAAGAACCAGCCAAAAATCTAGCTCTAAACCAAGATAAAATCCAAAGTATATATAAATTAAAAAGAATTATCTTGCATGAACTTACAGAAAAGTTAGGTATTGAAAGTCACACTAGTTTATAAACCCAAAAATACTGTAATAAATAAAACACTTGTAAATAATCCATTTTATGTTACAAATCTACTGCTTACATGGGCAACTATACAGACTACTGTATTTGCCACTAGCTCCCCTCTACTGCCATTAACATCAGGCAATAGTTGTCAACCATGATGCTCCTTATCTGTCATAAGGAAGTCCATATTCTCAGTATGGAAAGAAGGTATTTCCATATGTAAATGAAGTTTTATTTAAACAACAGTGACAGTATTGCCCATATCATTTTATTCCTAAAGTCAGTCTGATGAACAGTTCTTAAATAGTTGTTGCAGAACTCAGAAATTAAATTATAAACCCCAGAAATCTGAAGCTCTTCGTGGCTTGAGGTGAAATTGAGTCTCTCCCTCCTTTAAGTCTTTGCTTTTACCTACAGTGCAATAGATGGATTATTGGAAGTATTTTTGCTGCAAATGTTACCTAAGCCTGCTGGTGAGATCCCTGTATGACAAATGTGCAAATGTGGTGAGGTACCAACCTGATCTGAATCCAGCAGACAGTAGTTAACTCGCAGCTGAACCAGTTGAGCAAGCAAGTCTAGAACTTGTCTCTGCAGCTGTACCGACGTTGTTGTTGTGTATTGTTTCAATGCTTTTATGACAAGGGGTTCAAATAAACGAATGTGATTGTGAATAGCATTCTGTAATAGAGAGATTTTAAAGTAATCTAACATCTGAACAGGTCTTTGATTCAAAACCAAATTAGTTTTAAAAGGAGGAAAAATGTTTTAAATCTAAGGTACAGCTCTTTCAGGAGGACACAGATATAAGTACCTTATCAGCACGATGTTTTGCTGCACTGGAAATGCTAGTTTTCAGCTGTGTAGAAACTTTCTGCAGCACATCAAACCATCTGTTAAAAAAAAAAACAAACAACAAACCCCACACAACACATTTAAAAAACCAAAACAAAACATGCTGTTCTTAACTGCACATTATTTAGCCAATGCCAACTTT